ACAATAGAGTATACTTAATGTCAATAAAAGGAAAATAGGACATCAAAGGACAAGGAGTCCTCGATGGTACAGAAAGGAAGAAAAAAAGGAAAGCCTAAACAATTTCAAAACAAAACAACAATAAGAAGATGAAGAAATCAAGTGACTCTGCAATTCGCACACATAAGCCCAATGAGCTTTAAAACTAAAGGAGTCCCTTCAAAGTGGTTTGATGTGGACACCCAAAGAGATGCTATGAAAGAGATTTTAGCCTAAATAACTTCCCAAGAAACCTCATTTTCCTAAAAAATTCACTCATAAAGCCATCCAAATTCATCATAAGCACCAAATCACAGCTTCTTGGAACCACCCAAGGGATCCGAATGACAACACGAACATATTCCACAACTTCGAGACAAAAGCATATGAAGGAACCAACGATCCATGCACGCGCTTCTTTCTTAGTAAGGATGCACCACTGTGGTTGAAGAGAATTGCCGACCTCACTTTTTGAAGCAATTCACTTGTAGTTAGTTTCTTATATGCAATCAACCATGCAAACAATATGTACCTTCAAAGGTGTCTTCTCTTCCAAACCAAAGAATGATCAAAATGGAAGAGATGACTTATAGATCAAACAATTAAAAAAAGATTAGCAAGAATACTCGGCCGAAGAAGAAATGGTCCATCTTCTTCTATCCAAGATATCTTGTCTCAAAACAATGTTGTCGAGAATACACAGAAGAGAGGTTAATTCATCCACTTTTTTATCTCTCAAGTTTCTAAAGAATTTAAAGTTCCAACCAATGATGGAGGAAATTAAGGTTAGCATACTAGCAATGTGTGAGTTATGAGATCTAGAAAACTAATATAAACCAAAAAACAAGGATACGAACAAAGACCCACCCCCACCCCACCTCCAATCATCTTTGGAAAGAGAATCTTCTGTCCATTATCAATAACCTTCTTAAAGTTTTGTGAAAAAAGGAACAATTGTTGAGAAATGAATTTCTAAGGATGCAGAGAACAACCTCTCTCTCACTCGCACTAGAATCTAACCCATTATCATGACTCCCTTATTTGCTTTTGATCACTAGATGCCATGAACTATTATGCTTGATGGGGAATCTAAAACCATATGCCAAGTAAATAGATATTTGTAGCTTTTAGGTTTCTAATGCAAGAACTCACTTAATTTTAGATTGAGACATCACATCCCAAATGACAAGATGATCTTTCTTGCTTTCAAGTGTTTCCTATGTTTGCAAATGTGTAAGGATGAATTATTAATTTTAAGCTCTCCGAGCTATGTAAAAGTTTGCTTTATGTCAATAGAGACATAGTAACCTTAAGTATTTAGTGGCATGTTTGTCAAATTTGGCATTACTGAATATACGTCTCAATTTGTGAAATAAATAAGAAGTACAGAGAAATGAAAAAATTGGTAAAACAATAAAGAAGTAATGGTCATTTGCATGAGGTTATGAAAGAAGTTAAGGCATTGACAATTTGCTGTGCATCGACTTAAGTGTGACAAAAACCTAAATTTCAAAAACTTTAATATCCCTTGAAAATAATAAAAATAATAAATTTGTTGAGAGTTCTAAGATTACTTCTATTTAGCTAGTTATACGATACTTATGTGTTCTTGTAAGGTTTAGGGAGCACAGTTCACGGTTGTGGTATTAGCTATCAACTCAGAGAGCTTTGAGTGGCATGGTATCGGTATACGACCTAAAAGAAAATGTTGAATATGACGAGTAATTCATGTTATATAGTGGCATCGTGGAGCCATATCGACCGATTCGAAGATGATAATTTGACGACTCAGATAAAACTTGGACAACTCCGCAGAGTTGTGCGAGACTTGAGGTTTACACATTTTGTGTAATATTATCATCTCGGAAGGTACTAAATTGACCAACTCGTATCGGTATAGGCCAAAATACTTTGAACCATGTTAGGGAGTGGTGGGAACAGGGATGGGTTCAAGGCTAGGAAGGGTTTAGATTTACGAAAAAGGTTGAGTTTATAAAACAAAAATTAAAAGTGTGGAATAAAAAGGAGTTTGAGGATGTTTGTGAAGTGAAACTGTTCATTTTGGATAGGATTGATGATAAATAAGAATGAAGTAGAACAGGATTTGGATGATGGTTTGAAAAGAGAGAGAAGAGAATTTATGAATAAATTTGAGAATGTAGTTTTTAAAGAAGAGATTAGCTTCAAAGACAGAAATCAATGGTGAAATGGCTAAAAGAAGGTGAGAACAGTACAAATTTTTTTTCATAGAGTGGCGAATAGTAATAGGGTTACGAAGTTCATCGATAAATTGGTGCATAATGATGGTTTGATAATTGAGGATGAGGATATAATTGAGAGGAAGATTATTTGTTTTTTGGTTGAGTAATACTTAGTTCATGATGGTTCTAGACCCTACTGTGAGGGGTTTTGAGTGGAGTAATGAAAGGATAGCAGGATGATGGAGAGACCTTTTGAGATGGAGGAAGTAAGGGGAGTTGTTTTTGAGTATAGTAGAGAAATTACTCTAGGCCCAAAGGGATGCAATATGACTATTTATCAAATTTGCTGGGATAAGGTCAAGGATGATTTGATAAGGGTCTTCGAGGAGTTTTTCATAAGGGGGTGATCAATGGAGTAACAAATGCGACATATATATGTCTCATCCCAAAGAAATTTTATTCCATGGAATTGAAGGATTTTAGGCCGTCTGTATAGGATTATTGGTAAAGTTTTTTTTATTAGGATTAGGGAGTGCTTGAGTGACACGATCTCAAAAATGTCAGGGGCTTTTGTGAGGTGGAGACAAATTATAGATGTGGCACTTATTGCTAATGAGATTGTTTATGAGTATAGGTGACAAGGGAAGAAGGGTTTTGTGTTGAAGATAGATTTTGAGAAAGTTTTTGACAATATGGATTGGGGTTGTTTGGAGTCGATGAATTTCTCAGTTATTATGTATGGGAAACTTGGGGGAAGATTTAAGGCATATAAGTGGCTCAAACCGGGCGATCCTCTATCACCATTTTTGTTCACTTTGGTGATGAGTGGAATAGGTTGATGGAAAAGGTAGAGAGATGTAATTTGGTGTAAAGATTTGTGATAGGGCAGGAAATGATTATAGTATCTCATTTGCAATTTGCTGATGATACTATATTATTTTCTTTGGGCGAAGTGCAGAAATCAAGAAACTTAAAGTTGATTGTTGATGTGTTTGGTGTAATCTTTGGACTTAAGGTTAAAATGGAAAAATGCTATTATCATGGGCATTAATTTTAGCCCCAAGAAGGTGGTAGGTTGGTTATGGAGACAGGGTGCTTGGCCCCTAAAGTCCCTTAGGACTTCCCTTGCTTGGCAATCCATTGTGGAGAAAGTTGGAAGGAGATTGAATTGGTGGAATAAAACTTTTATTTCTAAACGTGTAGACTAACTTTGATTTACTTTGTCTTATCTAGCATTCCGATCTATTTCATGTTTCTTTTTAAAATGGATGTTATGTTGGCTAAGGAAATCGAAAGTTTAATGAGGAATTTGTTTTGGGGAGGGGTGGGAGAGTGAATGAAGGATCTATTGGTTGGGAGGTGGTGATTAGGCCAAAAGATAAGGGAGGGCTTTTGATTGAGAATTTAATGAAAAGTAATGTAACCTTGGTTGGAAATGGCGTTGAGGTTCCTTTCGGAGCAAGATCCACTATGGCATGCCATTATTAGGAGCAAGTATGGGTTACTAGCTAATGAGTGAGATTCTAATGACGTGGAAAAGGTATTTTCTGGAGTTTGTGAAAGGTCATTTATGAGGGGTTACCTTGCTTTTCTCAGAAAGTTAAGTTAATTGTGGGAGATGGAACAAGAGTGTAGTTTTGGGAGGATAAGAGTCTTCTTTTGTTACTCTATTTCCACACTTATATTGTGGTTCCTTGTTATCAGGATACTTGGCTGGGATCTATGATTTGGTCATATTCTAATTCAATTTCGTGGGATTTTGGTTTTCGTAGGAGCCTTAATGATATGGAATGTTCGAAGTTGAGGATTCTTCTTTTGATGCTTAATAATGTCACATTAACAGGTGTTTTTCATTGTAAATCTTTCTTTGAATTTTTAATTGATGACCCTTTATTGCCATCTATCATTGAAGATTTGGAGGACAAACATGCCTATAAAAGTTCTAGTTTGTGCATTGATAATTGCTCAGGAGAAGATTAGTCCTAGTCCAATACCTTAAAAAGAGGATACCTAATTATTGTCTTCGATCGCAATGGTGAGGGTGGGGATCAGTTATTTTTGCATTGTTCTTTGATGCGTGATTTATGGAATAAGTTTTTTGACCTTGTGGTCCTTTCTTGGGCTGCACCAAGGGACATGCCATCTATGTATTGTTTGGATGATGGGGTTTTGGGGAAATAGAAATTGGAAAACCATTTGGCATAGTGCTTGTTAGTTGCATTGTGGGTGATTTGGATGGAAACGAATGCGAGAATTTTTGAAGATAAGTGTGAACGGTATTATGGGATAGACTTTATTTTTTGGGCTCTTTTTGGGCCTCAACATCTAAGGAGTTTGAATGTAGTTCTTTCTTTTGTGTTAAGAAAAGCTGGAAAGTATTGTTTGGCTTTAGTTTGATTAATTTTATGGATATTTTAGATGCCCTGTCATTGTATTGGACTCTTTGACCACCTTTGATTTGGTTTTGTAATGACTTGTCTGATAATTAAAAATTGATGTGTCTTACCAAAACAAAAAATTTTACCATATCATGTTTATTCCTGCTTTTTAAGATGCGAGCTTAAGTAGCCGAAATTTTTCCTTAAGTTGGCAATTTAAGCTTCTTTGACATAGATAACAAAAACAAATGGCTTGGTTGAAAATTCATAATTTTGCTGTTTTAAGGACCCAACAGTTTTCGTGCAAATCCTGTTCAATTTTTTTATAACTGTTTTATCTGCACAGTTGGTTTTCACTAATGATTTACTACCAGGGGCCTCTGTTTTTTATGTGCTGGTATAGAGGCTTTGTGGAAATGTCAAAAGAGATCAAAACATCGATGATTTCAGGAGTGAAAACCAGAATGACATGCAGATGCTTGGGTCTGATGAAGAAGTCACTCAGATTCCAACCCAAGCCCAATCTGTTGTGGAAGGGTCGGGAGCAGTTTTGGTGTCGGAGTATAAACCAGTCCCTGATGTGGATTATCTACAGGTATGTTGTCTTGCCGGTCCACTATTTGCATCACCAATGGCTGGCTGAGTGAACAGTTCTGTAGCTATTTCTTTGGGCTTAAATAAAAATTTCAAGAGAATCTTGTGTTTGAATATCTAGGAAGCATGGATACACATACGTGATACGGTACAATACGATACGATAAGGCAAAACCTAATATTTGAAAATAATATTTTTTATAAATTCTTTAATAACAATTCAAAACAGGTATCTTTTGTGCTTTGTTATATCATCATGTTGTATCTACATTGTGAATGTAGCTAATTAGAGGAATTAGAACCAAACTTTAATTTGTTGGTTTGCTTAGAAATACTTGTTGCCAAATGGTATAGTGTAATTAACTTATTTTATGTCTCTTTGATATTTGATAGTAAAAACTACTTAAAAAACCACTTGTCTTCATAATCACGTGGATTTTTTGATGTATGTTATTAGATGTGAATTCGAGGAGAAATGATAGAGAATAACTTATACATATTGCTCTGCAAATCCACTTCTATATATGTTTCGAATATGGGATATTTGTATTTGATATGTATTCAGAGTGCACAAATCTAGCCCAACGTTGAAATCAGACGTATTTTATAGCCAAGAAGGGGTTGAATAGGTCTATCGTAATCACTACAAAAATTAATGCCCAATTCAAATTGACCCATTCAACTATATGTGAATCCCTCAATTAAGCACAACAAACCAACCAAAGGATCCAAAATTTCATGTGAAGAAAAGTAAAGCAACAACAAACGACGACTAAAACCCAAGCAATTTTTACGTAAAAAAACTCTTCCGGATAAAATAATCATGGGGCCCAAGTCTAGCTAAACTAATTCACTAAGCTTCAAAGTAGGTTACAAGACTTAAAGACTTGTACCTCAACCAATTCCTTTAAGTTAGATATTTTCTCGTCTCGACACTTCACTATGGAATTCATCAGAAGTTCTTGAACACTTATGACTAGCTCTGTGAAACTGGGGTAAATTTGTACTTTTTCTAAAAAAGGTCAAAATGGTAATTTGTTATTATAATACAGGATTAAAATCCGTATTTTTCTAGAGCTCGGATGACGCAATGGACCTCACCGTTGAATTCGTATCGTAAAATTGAGCTGTCCTGTCAATTTTCGTCGAATTCTGAGGTAATCAAAATTTTTACGTTTTACGAGACAATTGGATGACAAAGGACCTCACAAAGGTCCCTAAAAATAAAATTTATAAAATTTTCTTAAAATTAAAAGAAAGTTTCAATAAAAATAAATTAAACTTAAATCGGAATAAAATTAAGTTGTTTCGGGACAAAAACGGATTCGGAAGTAGGAAACATGCGGTGCGATGTGGACCGCGCAATTAAAAAGTATAAATAGGGGTTAAATATCTGATTTTTTAGATATTTCCTCTCCCCACTTGTCTGGTTTCACAAGTTGAAAAGGAGAAGAGAAGGGAGAGAAGAAAAACTAAATTTCTACCTTTTTCTTTGTGATTTAGGGAGTTTCGTCGGTCGGAATCACTTGGACTAAGAATTAAAGTTGGTTACCACGACGAGAGCTACGTCAACGCACCAAGAACGAAGGGTTTCACTAAAGATCCAAGGAAAAGATTTTGTGAAATCAAGGATTTTTGGGGTTAGGGAGGTGTCTTGAAGTTTTCTCCCTTTCGTTTTACGTTTCAAGAGGTAGGGTTCCCTCCTACTTAGTTTTATTTTCTAACTTAGGATGTTATATGTAATGGGTAGGTTGATAGAATTATATATCACTTACCAATTCTTGTGAAATTGATAGAAATGGGTATTAGAAATGGTTTAAAATGAATTTCTAGCTTGGAATTGATGTGGTAGTTGTTTGTGCAATTCCATGGAAATGTGATTTATCGGCATGTTATATGTGTACATTATTGCTTTTATGAGTTTAGTGTGTTAAGTGTATGATTAATTGATAACATGTTTGAAAATTGTGTTGAATGAAGTGTCGATATATGCTTAAAATATATTGACAATTTGTAGATTATGGACTTTTTATGCTTAGGATGTAATGATCCATAATATGTCTTGAAAATAGTTCATATGTCATTGATTACATATTGAACATGATGATAGTCTTGCAATGACGCATTACATTGCATTTGTACGGGAACTTCGCATTCACGGGCATCATCATGGGTGTGGGCATGCATGCATATGTTGGATCAAACACCATATTTGGTAGATGATAAGTGAGTTCGGTACCATTGGACCAAGATTCAACAGAGTCGCATGGGTTGCATGAAAAACTTGTGTCGGGTATAGCAAGAAAGGCTAGACTCTTCCTCGGGTGTAAGACCCGGCTACTAGTTTTATACATTTCCTACGGTGTAAGTCCAAAAAAGTGTAATGGTAGATTTGTTACACATTAGCATTGCATTGTATTGCGGGAGTCGGTGAAGATTCAGGGTAAGGTGCATGAGTGAGTCTTATCTCATTTCATGGCATGACATGACATGACAGAATTCCATCTTGAATGACATTCTTGTATGGAATGGATTATGCTTGTTGAATGTTGCATGTGACATTTCATATGCATCTAGGTTGGGGAGTAACCTCTTTAGGAGTTATTCTATTGAGCGTGGCTCACCCTATACGGGAACACATTTTAGATGTGGGTTTTGTACCGACGGGGGACTCTCATTCGGGACCTCCAAGATAAAGAAAAGGTCGACTTGTGGCCTTGAGTCCATTTTTGTAAAACCATTGTATAAATTTGGTGAAAAATATATTTTGGGCTTGTAATCGTATGAAATTGATTGTAATAGACCTTGTATATATTAGGTTTTATGTGAAAAACCTTATTAAGCATGTTTTGGATCGTGTTGGAATAGATTGAAAAATAAAAAACAGGTAAAACAGACATTTTGGGCAAAACCTACCAGTAGGTCCATAAAAACCTACCGATAGATCTTGTATGGATAGGTGTTGTCACAGACAAAACCTATTGGTAGTTTACCGGTAGAACATTTCTAGTAGGTCAAACCTACCGGTAGTTTGTTGGTAGAACTTTTCCAGTAGGTCAAACCTACCGGTAGAACTTTTCTGGTGAACAAAACCTACCGGTAGGTCCCTACCATAAAAGCCTACCGGTAGCTTTATCAAAAATCTGAAATTGTATGAATGCATTACCATGCTTTTGAGTTATGTGTTCTTTGGTTCTAAGGTTATAAATGGACATCAAATGAGTATAAATTATAGCATAGTGGACCTCGATTGGGCCAAATGGTAAAACATACACGAGTTAAACATGTGGGTTATAATTCTGATTAAGAGAATGTTATTGACTTGTCGCCTAGTTGTGCGACAATTATGGGTATTTTTGCGGGTTGACGGATGATCAACGGTTAATAAATGATCCCCGGTTTTAGAGGCGTCACAAGCACTCCACGAACCAAATTCACAATCCGCCAAGGATTCCTTCTTCAACCTGTGGAATCCACCAATTATCTTTGATCTCTGAAGGTTTAGTTGGTTCTATAGGGTTTCTCTTTTATTCCACGAATCAACAATGAAAAGCTCTAGATTAACCAAGTACATTTGTGCCTTTTGAGTTGGGAAGGCTAGGGTTCTTCTTTTTTATGTTTTCTTAGAATTTTTAGCTCTTTTAAAACTCTTATGGTCATCAAAGACCGTCCCAAATATATAGGTGTGAATTTATATAAAAAACTAAAATCTATAAAATTCTGAAAGATTGCTAAAGCATTGGGAGAGTGCTTAACGGGGTGTGCCCTCTAGAATCGAAACTATCTAATGCCCACTAACTTGAACGCTCAAGTGCTAGGCGAGCGCTTGTCTTGGATTGAGAATTTTGCTTTCTTCAATTTTTTGAACCACCTAAGTACTAAGAGGCGGTGTTCATTGATTTCTTTGAACAAAACCAATGCTCTACTTCACATTTTGAGTATTAAGGGGTGTTTGTTACTCAATAATGTTCCATACCATGACTCTTACAGTATTTCAAAAACTTATTTTGGAGCTTTAAAAACGTTTTCAAATAATAGTTCGAGACTCGTGCTACAGATTTAACAAAACTTCCTAAACCCAATTTTGAACCTAAATCTAAACCATTCTCGGCTCATTGAGATATCTAAAGTCCCTTACCTCGCCTAAGAATATAGATTCCAAGAAGACTTCGGAATGTAGCAATGAAGCTTGAATTTCTTATTCTCATTCGACTATTGTCTTCATCTTCATAAGCATCCTGACAATTGGATTTGGTTGATACATTACATTGTGCCCTCACAGAATTTTGACAACACATCTTATTTCCTAACATTATTAATTGTTGGATATTTATAGTGAGTATCCAATATACATCCTCGAGTATCTGACCATATCCGGATACTTTGACCTAAATGAAGTATCAGTGCTTCATAGTTGAATACCTAAGCCTCTTTTACAACCTATGTTTTGAACAATGTGTTGCAAATTGTTAAGTTGAGTGAATTAACATAACACAATATTAGAGAGAAAGAGAGAGGTTAAAACTTAACCTAGCCCTCATACATCACTTGTATTTATAGTTAACCTACAGTAATAATAATTACACATACACCCTCGTACTATTAACAATTTATACATATTACCCTATTATTTTTAACACTCCCCCTCAAGTTGGACTATATATATCATATAATCCAAGTTTGGAATAAATAGCTGTAAGACGTGTACGACTCAATACTTTGGTAAGCATATTTGCAAGTTAATCTTTAGATTTCACAAATGGAGTTGTAATCTCCCCAGTTACGATCTTGTCCCGAATAAAGTGACAGTCAACCTCAATATGCTTGGTTCTCTCATGAAACACAGGATTGACAGCGATATGGATAGCTGCTGGTTGTCATAGAACAACTGTAAAGGAAGTTGAACTGGAAACCTAATTTCTTGGAGGAAGTGTAGTAGCCAAGTCAACTCACTTGTCGTATGTGCCATTGCCCTATACTTAGCTTCAGCCGTGGATCTTG